CCACTAGACCACCAGGGGCTCCTGCTACTGTTAACCAAGATGTTAAATGCTTGACCTCGTTGACCTGCTTGACCTGCCATTCCCGACTATTTCTATGAGCCCTTTTAAAATAAAGTCTCTTTTAAATACTTACTCTGTTTATGTCTCTTCTCCATTATCTCAATTGAAAAGGGAAGGTAAGTTGCACTTTCATGGCCATGCACTGCAGTTATTTAAACTGCATTCCAGAATTTGTTAAGCTCTGTACGAATTAAGCTCATGCCACAGAACAGTCTTTTCTAACAATTATGAAGAACTACACTCTATTTAGGTACATCTTTAAATGAAGTTAAAGATCTTATTCCACAGACTTCCTACTTAACTTTGTTGGATAAGTAGTTACAGGTCTCTCAACTACTGTTCATCTCAATATAAGAACTGCAATGTCTAATATTTATCCAGAGTACTGCAGGGGTGATAACATTCAATCAGCTCATTATTAGTTTATTAACATCTATCAATACTTGTGGGATGAAGTGATGTTTGAGGATGATGTACCTTGAATAAAGTCTGTCGCATATAGAAAATAAGAAGCTATTGCACCTTGCACCTTTGAAAGTAATTAACAAAGATCTTGCATAAATGCTTGTATTCGAAGTCTCAGACACTCGGAGAATCCACAGCATCACTAGTGGTCTGCCATTGCTCTGCTTACAGGAGTTGCTATGCACTATCCTGTGGAATGTTCGTGTCCTATAACTACTTTTGCAAACGATTTATTCACAGCAATAAAGTTACCAAAGTCTCCCACTGGTTCTCCTATCACGACTAACCCGATGAGTAAGCAAGTCTCCAAGTCCTCAGCCAGCTACACGCAAGTTGTCAAACTCAAGGGCTTGTACTCGTCTTGGTGTCTCCTATACTGACTCGAAAACAGATCTAGGAGAAGGTTCCTGAATTTCTCCCCTGGAACACAGGGAAACGGAGTCCTGCTAGCATCATCCTGCCTATCCAGACCTCTGACGAACTCGCAGGAGCTGGCGCAGCCAGGGCAGCGGCACAGCACGGGGCCAGGGCCGGGCAGGCGGTAACAGCCACTCCGAGCGACCCTGTCCCACCTCCACGTCGGCCAAGCTCGGGAAAGACCCCAGCAGCCGGGCCCAGAGGCGTCCAAAGGGCAACAAACGCCCCGCACTGAGCCCCAGAGTCGCCTCCTCTTTCCCTCACCGCCACCCAGCCCACCTCCAGCCGTCCCCGGCTCCTCCGCGTCCGCCTTCGCTCCAGCCCCCTCAGCCACCCTCCGCTTCCCCCAAGCCCTCACTCAGCGGCCACGGCCCTTGCCCGCCGCCCTCGCTCACCTCCCAGCCCGGCCCGGCCCCGCCGCCCTCGCTCACCTCAGCCCGGCCCGGCCCCGCCGCCCCTCGCTCACCTCAGCCCGGCCCGGCCCGGCCCGCCGCCCCCTCGCTCACCTCAGCCCGGCCCGGCCCCGCCGCCCCTCGCTCACCTCAGCCCGGCCCGGCCCCGCCGCCCCTCGCTCACCTCAGCCCGGCCCGGCCCGGCCGCCCCTCGCTCACCTCAGCCCGGCCCGGCCCGGCCCCGCCGCCGTTCCCGCCCGCCGCCGGCGCTCGCGCACTCCCGTGCCCACAGTTCCTACACGAAGCGTTGCGCCATTGGCCGCCCGGCCCCACGTGACGCGGCGCGGGCGAGCGGCAGCGCGCTCCCCCCGCCGCTGGGGGCGCTGTGAGGAGGCGGCGCTGCCCGACCCGACCCGCCCGCCCCGCCGCCGCCGCCGCCACCGCCACCGCCCCCGCCCCGCCGTGCCCGCCATGCCCCGGTACTGCGCCGCCACCCACTGCAAGAACCGCGGCGGGCAGAGCGCCAGGGACCAGCGCAAGCTCAGCTTCTACCCGTGAGTGGTCGCGGAGCGGGCTGGGGTCTGCGTGAGGGCTGGCCGTGCGGGTGATAGCGACCGAGAACCGAGGAAGTAAATAAATGGCCGAGAGGCGGAACTCCGCAGGCTGGTGGTCGCCTTGGAACCCCGCCTGGTCCCAGGAGGCTGGAGGGAAATAACTCTCTGGGAGAAGGGAAGGATTTAGGGAATAAAGGGGGGTCAGGCTGGGATGTAATCACACACACTGCCCCCCCACAAGGCGGACGGACCTTGGAGGAGGAGAGCGTGATACGCCAGCCTCCAAGGGCTCTGGAATAGGTGCGGAGGATCCATTAAGACCAAGAGGTTCGGATAAAAAATAAAATTTGCGCTCTTTAGCCTGCTTCGCTGCTGCCTGTGTGGAAGGGTTGTTCCAGCGGAGCAGGCGGTACTGGAGGCATTGGAAGTGCCTTCACCTGTGTGTCCTGTGTATGGCATTGCAGGCCAAGGAAAGAGCCTGGCAGAGTAGGAAAGTAAACCTATACTGATTCCTTAAAATTAAATATTCTCATTAGACTTATTGGCGTGCCTGCACTGTGAATAGAGGCATTGCTGGTTGGTTTGGAAGCAGCTGAGTTGGCTGGAAGATAACCAGCTCTGTTGCCAAAAACCAGTTTATGATGACTGCGTTGTACTATCCAGCCACTGAATGGATGAGTCGCCATCCAGCCCACAGTAAGCTATGGACTGTTGTGGTTACATGGCTGTCAGTTCACGAAATGGTGAGTTATAAACAGCATTTCACAATCCTGAGAGAAGCACAGTGCAGGTAACTAAGTATGAATGTATTTGTGTTAAATAAGAGTGTGAAACCATTTGTCAACAGAAGGAATTTAACAAAAAAAAAGAAAAATAAATTTCACAGCTAGCCTCAAAATCTGTTTTGGTAAAATTTATACTTCAAATGAAGTTTGGCTTCGGTTTCTGAGTAGTCATAGTTATTTTGAGATAAAGGAAGGCTTTGTAGGAAGACCACAGGAAGACTACTTTGAAAGAAAGTTTAGATTAAAGGAAAGTTCATTTCCCTGGCACATCTCTAATGTGGAATGCATCATAAAACAATCACGCAAATAATTTATTTTTCCTTATGCTTTAGAGAATGTGAGCGCCACATGGATAATCAAAACAAGTTTGAGCACTGTCACATTCATATTCAAATGTTACGGAGATGATTGCAAGAACACAGGTGTTTCACCTAGCCACTGAGTCGTGCTGCATTCCAAGTATCATGCTCCTGTAGAAGGGGTGCTGAGATTTGATTTAAAGTGTTCTATTCCCTTGCCTCTTACCACCCCCAAAGGAGTCCTCTACTGCTTTGTGGTTTGGGGTCTGAGCCCCTTCCAGGTGTTCTAACTGTAACCTAATCTCAGCTGACCTAACTTGGCCCCTCTTTGATTTGTTTCCTCGCCTCTCTGACTTACACAGTGATGGCAGCTGCTAAATAAATACTGTCCACTTCCTCTTTCCATATTCCTTTTTTTTTGTCGTCTTTACACCAGAGAACAGATTTTGTTGATGAGTAAGGGGATATTAAAGCATGAGCACGTTTTGGCAAAGGTACCGTTAAGCTAAAATAATAACTTTAACTATCCAATCTGTCTCGTGCTACAGATTATTTTGGTTTCTATCTGAAGCTGGCTGAGTCTGGGGAAAGCAGTGAGTGGTGTGTTGCAGGAGTGTAGGGATAGGTGTACTTCTTGCACCCCACAATTACAATCAGGTCAGGTTTAATGGCCACTTGCCTCTGTTTCTTACAGTTTCACATACACAAAAGCTGATTATTTTTCTTGTAATTATTATTATTATTTTTTATGATTCTCAAGAATATTGTTTTCTTAATAGTAGTCATTTAGCAGTGCTCACAACTTATAGTTTATGTATGTGTTTATATGCTAGAGTTAAAATAAACTTCATATGCACCAGAGAAACATATAAGTACATTTCAAATACCCTGATCTGTGTCTGAGGTGTGAGCCAAGAGTGATCTGAATGTTCATATTCCCATTACCTTCACTGCTTGACTGTATAAACATCATAATGAGCCTTTAATTTCCCTTTAACTTGTGCATTGCAATTCATTAGGTAAATTACATGTTTCTTTTTCCCTTGTAATTTGTCTGACTGTTTGCATGTGTTTTCAAAATCAATTTTTTTTTCCCTGCAAACATGTATACTCTTCATTTTCCTTTTCAGGTAGATTAGATGGTTGAAAAGTTAGTTATGAATTATAAAATAGTATGTGTGCTCCTGCTGCTGTGAGAAAGCTTAATTGCTGAAACACGAAATACAGGAATGTTTTGCATCTGTGTGTATTTACTTTTTGAACATAATTCAAATCCTGCACTGAAAATACATTGCCATATTATCTGGTAATCCAAAGTGTGGTGTGTACTCTGGTGAACAAAAAATACTAGTTGTGTCTAGTAAGACAAAAAAGCCCTAGAAATACTATTAATAAAATGAGGGTCTGTCTTAACTTTTTTTAAAACATGTCTGAGTATTTAATCTCCCCTCAGCAGAACTGCTTTCTGAGCAAGCGTTGTGGGATCAAAACATCTTGGCCATGGTTTCTGAAACCCTAGGCTAGTATAAATCAGCAGAAATTCTGCTGCTGAACTCCAGAACAAATACCCAACTGCAAATAATTTGGATAATTATTGGATTAACATGTGTGTGACATCCTGATTAGCATTTAATATTTAAAATTTTTGAAAAAATATTATTTTATTACTTTGTAAGGGCAGGTTACCTTGTAAGCGATAATGAGATATTCTTCTTTTAAAAGAAGAAAGAAAGAAAAAAATAACAGTTTGTTGTGTTGGGTTTTTTTTTAATGTGTTTTTGTCTTTTCAACTGCTTTAAAAAGATTTCCACTTCATGATAAAGAGAGACTTGAGAAATGGTTGCGGAACATGAAACGAGATTCATGGATTCCAAGTAAGCACCAGCTTCTGTGCAGTGACCATTTTACCCCCGACTCCCTGGACGTGCGATGGGGTATACGGTACTTGAAACACACTGCTGTACCAACTATCTTCTCTTCCCTAGATGATGAGGTAACCTAATTTTATGTCTTTTTTTTATTGTAGTACAAAGATAACCAACTATTGATGTAATACAGATGTTCTAATTATCTGTAATATAATCATATTTTATTTCAAAAATAGAATTCCTGTCCATTAAAATAGTTTGTCAACAGGACTGACACAAAACAGGTATGTGATTCCATAGCATAAAGGAAGAACAACTGACCATACTCTGACTGGAGCTTCAATATCTTTTTAAACTGGAAATTACAGAAGCATTTACTATAGAAAATTTTAAATTCTTCATGGGAATGATTCTAATTTTTTTTCCAGTGCAATTAGTCTTAATATTTTAATGTTCTTTTTAGGTCTTTTATTAACTGTACAGAAATACTGGCTTTGGAACATATGAGTTTCAAACTGCACATTTCTCTTTCCTGTCCCTAACCCTTCTAACACCTAAGAGCTCAGGACTGTAGGCTACCAAAGATATTCTGCAAAGACTATTCCATCTTGTCTTTCACAGGACTGTAATATTGGTTACATAAAAGTACTGCGCTACACAGGCACCTGATCTTGATGAAAGCTATGCTAATTCTCTTCTAATGCATAACTGTCTTCCTCTGGAGATGGGAGAAATGTGAGGACTGGAATTAAAGCTAATTGAATAATGAATCTGAAATATGCAGGTAGTTAATGTTACAAAACAAATAATATTTAATCAAGAAGTACTTTATCTTCTTGGACAGATGCAACTGTTTCTACACTGCTTTTGACTCTCTAGAATGAAAAGCAATCTTCATAAATCTCTCAAATATAAAAATAGAAAATCTTTCAATTTGTGGCAGTAGTAACTTAGCAGGAAATATCTTTCCTTTACCCCCCTGCCCTGCTTCAATGTATCCCTCACTTCCCTGTGCTGCTGTTGTAATAGGGAGCTTTGTAACTGAACTTTGCTGCTTCATGCTTCTGTGCTGTTACAGATAAGCTGTGTGTTTTCACCTCAAAGAAAAGGTGTCTTTTCCCCACCTCTTCATTCTTTCCTGATTTGCACATGACCATAGACCAGTCATAGTACACCTACAAAGATGGACAGTGGAGTTACAAAGGTAACAAACTTTTTATATAATGGTGTCGCCAAGAACATACCAATAGCTTCTCTAAACTATTTTTACATCGGCAATATATATCTGAGAAATCCCAGATAGATCTATCAAGTTTGGAAAAATAATATCCTATGCTTCCTTTCAGTATAGCAAATCACTTCCCCACTATCAAAATAAAGAGAGATGCCAGTTCTTCATACCTGAGGTACTGTGACCTTATTTTGCTGGGATCTCACTTATCTCTCTGGCATTACTTTTTTCTCACTGCACTTCTCTGAACATCAAGTCATATCCTGTTGGTGACCACCTCAGCAAATCAACAGTATCTTGACCTCTGGTTCTGTACTTGCCCAAACCTTAATTTTCTACATAGACTGGATATTCACGAAGATATGTGAAAGAGTTCCCCTTCCTTTGGGGAAGAATCATTTGTTCATGTGTTTCTGACTTAATTAGAGGAACAAGAAGCTAAGGCTCCAGGCTGCATTTGGAAAGCTGAGAGTGAAGAATTGTATTTGCAAATTGTTCACCACCGACTTGCTTTATATATTACCAAGAAGTGAAGGCTATCTTCCCAGAAATGCTAAATGATTCTTTGTAAAACATTTCATTTTATTTCTTCCTCTAAATAAAGAATGTTTGTGACTCAAGAGCAGTGTTAGTTGTCAGCATTTCAGTATCAGTAAACATTCTATATTAGCTTGCAAGTGCTTTTATTTTGGAGACTGACCTAAGAGTGTGAGGACAGGGACTGATAAAGAAGGAGATTTTTCAGTGTAAGTAAGGGTCTTCCTTCAAATTGTCCTGAGATTTATTCAGCCCTAATTTCAGTTCTGGTAGGTGACTATCTGGGGGACATTTACCTAACTTATTTCATAAGAAATTTGTCTAGTTAAAAAGTATAGTCTGAAAAGGTCCTTTTCAGCTGCCAGTTAATCAGAGAAAGGGAAATACTTCATTCTCTCCAAATATTGACATTTGAGAAGATAAAGGTAACCAAATGAATTCTCTTTCTGTATAAATTTCCCAGTCCTTTTAAGACTGAAGTTTCATATAAAACCAAATTGCAAAGTTTAGTGTATTTAGGAGACTTCAGACTACATATGTACTTTTTGGGACATACACTTTACCATCATAATCCATTTTTTCAGCCTGGTCTCTCTTCCCCCCCTTTCCTGTTTTTCTATTGAAGTTTTTTGTTAGTTTGGTGTGAGGTTTTTTGCCTGGCCTATATTAAATTAACAAAGTTGAAATTAGTGCTTCTTCTGTGTCTTTGTTCTGGGTGGTTTTTTGTTTTCTTTTTTAGTCCACAGGCTAAACACGTACACAGTAGTACATGAGTAAAAGTTCTGCAGCTTGGTGTTTTCATAATCAGTTCTACTGGAAAAAAATGACACTCATTACTTTATTTATTTTCACTGACTGACATACGAAAGAGCTTGTTTGCATACTGATCTTAAATGTAATCATGTAGTGATGTAGTTAATGTGAAAGAGGGGAAAAAAAAGATGGCTAAAAAAGGATAAGCTTCAAATTGTCTTTCAGTATCAACTTCTGTTTAAAGTCCTGTTAACGTTGGGTTGTTCTGCTAAGATTTGTATCTATCAAAAAAGTAATTTATGAATTGCAAAGTTTGTCAGAATTGAATTGCTGTTTTAAAAATCAACCTATGTGACTGTGCATGAATGTGTTTCATTATTCAGCAAACCTGTGTTCATAATCTTTTTTTTGTTGTTAAATTCTGTTTGACATATCCTGCATGAGTAAAAGTTTGCTACATCTTTCTAAAACAACTTTGATGCATTTTTAATGCAAGAATCTTGTGCTGTGTACATTTAATATTTTAATATATTTAATATAATGTTTTAGGTGGTAATAGGAGATGCTACCCACTCTTTGTGTAGTTGCTTCCCTTCAAGTGCTTTTAAAATTACTGGCCTATGTAAAACAGCCCACATTCCTTAGAGCTCAAAAAAACCCAAACTACAAAACAGAAAAAAAACAGGACCAAAACACAAAACCAAAAACTGTTATTGCCCTTAGAGCTTTAAAATAGTTTTTTAACATTTAGGACCCAAAGCAAAGTTACAGAAGATGCTTACATGAATTTTTGGGCCTCTGGTATAATTTTTAAGCAGTGCTTGCCTAAATTACTCTTTATGCCATACTAGGCTATAGAATGAGATTTGCCTGATTTTTTCATTTTTTTTTTTCTCCGCCAGGAAAAAGATTCTTCTCAGAAGAGTCCACAAGAGATACAGAGACAAGACCTGAAAGAAACAAATGCAGTGTCAGAGAAAGCATCTGTACCACTTGAACCTTGTGCACCAAAGGAAAATCCTGTAATTGCGAAAAATGTAGAGGAAGAAGCAGAAGTAGTTTGCTCAGCTGCAGTCAGTAAACCTTTACATATTCAAAACTTGCAACTTCAAAATGAAGGTGACTTTCAGGCAAAGAGTGACATTCTTGGTAATTCATCTACGCAGCATATACATCAACCTAATCCTGTTTTAATGGCAGCAGCAGTCCACAGCATGGAAGCTGCCAGTGTTCATGCTTCTGTGGAGGATCCAGGAGGCTGTACAGCTACAGTCTTGCAGTTTACAGACCCTGACTACATGAACTCATCTCTGAAGCTGAACAATGCTGTAGGGCCAGTTACTGAATACACAAATCCTGTCCCTCATGTTGTCTGCTCTGGTGAAGTACAGCCAACAAGTGAAGATGCAGTTTTACTGAGTACAGTGACACAAAATATTGAACAGTTCAGTGGAAGTGAAGAATCTGTCATTGCTATTATTATGCCAGCTGAGAGTCCAGAACAGCCTGAAGTAGTAAATAGTTCTTTCCTGGCTGTTAAGGAAGAGTTTCTTGACACTGAGGAGACAGATATGATTGAATATGATGGAAGTGAAATATTACAAACTGAGCATTCATACTGCAAACAAGACATAGACAGAGATCACCTTTGGCAAAAAATTTCAAAACTCCACTCTAAGATAACTTTACTTGAAATGCAGGAGGTAAAAACTTTGGGGAGACTTAGGTCCTTGGAAGCTCTTATTGGACAATTGAAGCAAGAAAACCAGCTTTCTGAAGAAAAACTGAAGACGGTAGAAAACTGTTTTACAACCCTTGAAGTAACTATAATACAGTAAAGGCTTTCACTAATGGTTCTAAAATATCTTTTTAGTCTCTTTGACTGTCCTTTTGGACAAATTAACTTTTGTTTCAGTCATAGTGTTCTAAACGTCTGATGCAAATTGTGTTACTAGCAAATATTCTTTAAAATGTTACATTAGCTAAAGCTGGGTGGTAGACTATTGACTGTAAAACATGACTTGCAAGTAAGCCTAAAACAAAACCTCTCAATTGCGTGATTTTTTCTAAAAAAGTGAGTGAATTGAATCAATAAAGTTAAATAACCCTTTCTAGCTACAGCCTTCTCCAAAACATGCAACTCCTGTATTTGAGGCAGCAGTAGAACAGACAGAATAAGCATATGGGATGGACAATTATAAAACTCCTGTTTGAAAAAAAAAAAGTGTCCCAATTCTCTTTCAAATGAGTAAGAAGATATGTAACATGCATTGTTCAGTGAGGCAGCAATTGCTCTTTACCCTTCTGTTCATCTAACATTTATTCTGATAGTTTTTTGTACACTTGGATCTTATTAAAATTGTTTCTACAATAAAAGGTGTTGCCTTTCATTCGGTTCTAGAAACAAAATTCTCTAAGAATATTGTTTACTCTCCTTTGTTGATTTTAATAACTTTCTAGTTACGGGGTACCACTACAGTAGACAGATACTACAGTTCATTTTGAGAGAAATTAATTTGCTTAAATATTTGCTGCTTACTCTGTCAGTTTGCCACTCGTTGGATCTAGAGCTTGCCGTACACAGAACCAGCACCATCCATTCCAACTGTACCTTGTGGCTGGACTGGATGATCATTGTAGGTCCCTCAAGCTGAACTATTCTGGAATATTCTGTTCCACAATGATTAGATTACTTGAGGAACTTGGTTGTATTTTCCTTTATTCCAAAATTGTGTCTTCCCCACCACTACAAGTTCAGTCCAGGACTGGAGCAAACGGATTCCATTGTAGTCTGTTATTCTTGTTGTCTCTCAGACACATCCTAAACTGTCCTGGTAATTTCTTCATACGGAATCAAGGATCAAGCAACACTAATTACAAAGCTGGCCTCCAACTAGACAGGTTGCAAACTGGTCATGTTTCAGAAAATTTTTGAGACTTCCAGTGTCTGTGCAGAAGTTGGACTGCTAAAACACAGAGCTGTAGGAGGTTAGTCTGTATCAGTAACCAGTTAAGCTAAGTAATCAGTTAGGCTTGTTTTGTTCTTCAACTAGTTAACTTCTTGTAGGCTTTAAGCACAGGATATGCTTGATAATATTCCTAAAGGACATAAAGGTCCTTTTGATGAATTATTTACTGGGAGTCTGTGACCCACTCATTTTATTCCCTCTTAGAATTATCTCCCTGTAACAAAAGAACACTGCATTCTGCCTTGTGTGCTCTGAAATCACAAGGGATGTCCTGTATCTTCTAGAAACATTGCTGTTATATAGAATCCAATCTTGTGAACATTTTTCAAGTGTCTTCTCTGAACTGCACATTTTGTAATTTTTGTAAAGAGATCTTTCAAAGTGATTTACAAAATGCTATATGAAATTGATAAATGATTTGGCAATTTTAGAGATTTCATTAATGTCACTACAAATCCTTTGCTAACCCTGTATATTTTAAGGCTGAATGCACAGTTCAGAAGTACATTGTAGGTTTTGGATGGCAATGAGAGGGTGGACATGGCAAAAGAGTTGCTATACTTCAAGCTATTGTCTCAGCAAAGCTCTATTCCCAAAGAAAATGTGGGGGTTTTAACATGGTATTTGCATTGCTGATATATTTTGCTTTTAGTAATAGTTTCCAGTATTCAAATTAAAAATATTATTTTTGGCATAGATTTCTTTAAACCTGTGGAAAAAAAAACCAGAAATGCTTGATTTTCCTTTTTTTTTTTTTTTTTTTACAGAGTTTCTTAGGACTATATCAGAACAACTCAGTAACTCTACAAGTCTGTCACCAGATCAACATTTAGCATTGTAGGTGGCTATTGTTGCTTACAGGAAGATGCAGCTGGTTCATTTGCCTCAGTAATAAGCTGACACTGAATTACTCAGGCTAATTATTAAAAGGAAAGCAAAGTAGCTTGTTGGAAATGGCCACACCCCACTGAATTAGATGCTACATGTACAGTTTGTTTTCAGTGTTTCCTAATCATAAACTATACAGCCTTTGCACACAATTTTATTTCACCAAACCTGATGGGCACTTGAAGGTGCTATGTTACTCCTTAAGATCCTGTGGAAACTGCTTTTGTACAGTCACAACCCAGCATCAAAGTAGTGCACTGAATCATCGTTCCTTCTGTAATGTGTTGGGCTTATCTTGATCCAAGTCAAATATCCTCACTTAGGTCTTCCATAATTTTCATTTGCAGCACCTTCTTTTTTTAAACTTTTGATTTTCAATTTCCACTAATTAATTGTTTTGGTACTTTATAGATTTAACAGATGGCATCTATTTTATTAATTCACTCCTTGAACTGTTCAGTTGTATTTCTTTGTCACTGTCCACTGGCTACTGTAGGAATTTGGCATTTGCTTTCTCATATATCTTCATTTCAATTCCACCGGTTTTATTAAACTTGCCTACAAGCAGTGTGGTTCCATCTGGAATAAATTGATGCCCATGTCCTCCGATTTTCCATCTTCTTTATGAGGTGGAGTGTGAAGTTTTATTTCTCTCATTCTTAATGCAGGGACAGCTACAGGGGATTTTTTCTTTCTGTCAGACTAATAAGTATCCAGGACTTCTGTGCTTTCTTGCATCAGTGGTGCAAATATTGACTGCACTCTTGCATGCATTACAAGCATTCATTACAAGTCTGTCTAGATCTCTCATTAGATGTCTTTGACCCTTTTTCAGTCTTTTTACCACAGTGAAGTTGTAGTTACTCCACTTAAACCCTCTCCTACTCTTGAGACTTGGCTCCTGCATTAGAAAAGCTAGCAGCAGACCTGGGCTCACTCAAAATGCCTTAATGGTTAGTAATTGTTACCTCTTTTCTGTTTTGCCCAAGTGAGTCCACGATGGGTGCTCTGGATGGGTGCCATGGGATCTAGCTGTGCCCATGTCTACCACAGCCACCTGCTCTGCCTCCAGTCAGGGGACCCCCTAGGACTGCAGTGCTGCTGGACTCTAATGGCACAGTTCCACTTGTGCTAGAGGCTGCCTTCTCTTCAGTTAACCTATATGCCACATTTTAAAAATGCAATTCCCTTCATCTCCTAACATCTTCCGTAATGGATACGTTTCCTTCATACCTAACCACACTGCTGCTTTTGGCTGGTACTGTTAATTTTCTTGACAGTGGCTGGTATGGGGCTGTGGTTTGGATTTGTGCTGGAAACAGTGTTGATAACACAGGAATGTTTCAGCTATTGCTGAGCAGACCTTACAAAGCTTTTTCTACCTCTCGCCCCACCCCACCCCACCAGTGAGGAGGGTACACAAGGAGTTGTGAGGAGACACAGCCACAACAGCTGATGCCAACTGACCAAAGGGACCCCAGACCATGTGGTGTCATGCTCAGCATATAAAGCTGGGGCAAGAAGAAGGAAGAGGGTTGTGTTTGGAGTGATGGCATTTGTCTTCCCCAGTCACCCATGATGGAGCCCTGCTTTCCTTGAGATGGCTGAACACCTGCCTGCCCGTTGGAAGTGGTAAGTGAATTCCTTGGTTTGCTTTGTTTGCACGTACAGTTTTTTTCTTTCCATATTAAACTGTCTTTATCTCAACCCACAAATTCTCTCTACTTTTCTGATTCTCTCCCCCATCCCACAGTGGGGGAGTGAGCAAGTGGCTATGGTTGCCCACAGGTTAAACCACAACACACAGTTTGGTCCCCACTGCCCTGTGTACTACTCGTCCTGCTGTATCCATACTGGATAATGTCACTTAACTGCAGGTTAAAGTCATACATGCAAATCCACCCTCCTGCGGTTCAGCCTGTATCCAGTACTGCCTCAGCAAAGTGCTAGGCACAGCCTACACCAGCCTTTCCATATCGCAGATGGTCTAACACCCAGAGACCCTATCACATTGCCAGGTGAGGGCTCATGCTGGCAGGGGCTGCCTGCAGGCTCTGGACTCCTACCAGAGTTAGTTAATTATGTCAATGACGGTGGTAGACTGTTTGGCAGGATGTGTTATTTCTAAACCCACTGAGGTAAGTGCTCAAATTCCTTTGCTCTTTAGAGATTTTAAACTTCATAATGACAGTAGGACAATGAACCCAGAGCCTGCTTTTGTGAGAGATTGTGTCTGCCTGGTGAGAGGCACCAGGAAGGACCTACCTGCTTTCTGGGCAAACCCAGGAGACATTGTGAGCAGTAGACAATATTTTGAGCACCCAGGAAGAACTAGACAAATTCCACACCCAACCTTGAGGAAAAGTCTTAAGACATGGGATAGTGGTGAATGACTTGGTCCTTTTCCATAAAGTCCACAAGCAGGAAGCCTCATGCTGTGTTGTAAGGCTGGAGGGGAAGTAGCACCTGCACACATGGGTCTTAGGAGAGATGCTCAAGGCATGGGAGATGCTCAGGAGACAGGGAGTAAGGAGTGAGCTTTGGTATTTGCCCTGGCAAAAGTGCTTTCCTGCGGAGCATCTCTGCTATGCCAGTGCAGCACCAGTTGCAGGTGCTGTCCCTTCTCTGGATTCCCACATGCTAGGCACAGCTCAAAGATACCGGGAAAACCAAGTAATGCACTGGAAGGCATGGGTTACCAGCACTAAGGCAAGAGGGAAGAGAAACAGAAGGGGAAAAGGACAAGTTATATGCTCATTAATGACTTAAACATTAACTTAGATTTGGACAAAAAATATTCTTTGCTCATTTACAAAAGAATTTTATGATTTACTTACACAAGCTAATTTAAATTTCTGCAACCTCAAGTGGATCTCTGGAAATGCTTTAGCATTTTGTTCATGCTAGATCTTATAAAAATATTATTGCTCTATTTTCTCCTTCACTGAAAGTGTAAGGCCTTTCTAATTTACCAGACCATTTAGTGCTAAAGCAAAGATGTGAGTTTCGGCCAAAATATTTTCCACAAAGAAAACAATAAGAAAAAAACATCTAACCAGACTTTTTCCAGTAAATATATCTCTTTTCGTTATTAAATATTATGGGGTACAATGCAAAAAGTCTATCACCATTTAAATATCTGCCTTTCCTAAAAAGGACACTTAGACTGAAAGCAAAATTTAGAAGCCTGTTTCATAGCCAGTCAAAATGGTCAAATTGTAGAGATGCTTTTGGAATATATTTATATTTGTATATAAAAGCAGCACAGCATGTATCTGAAGCAGCAGTGTTCCCTGTAAACAGCAGGTGGTGCTATTGGATCGTTCTGTAGGAGTCAGACTAAAGACCTGCATTTAATTTTTTATTCTGTTGTTATTGAAACCATATGCAAACAGATTAACTATGGGCGGCAGGGGGAGGAGGTGTTTGCTTATATTTCAGATTTATCTTTAATAAAGAGGGGTGGTATATGAACAAAACAGGATGAATAATTTGCTTCAATATTACAAAACTAAAGCTTCAGACAAGAAGAAACATTTATATTCTGAGCATAAAACAGAAATTCGAGAGCCTTCTGCTCAAGTGAGTGGGAGAAGGAGATGTATTTGCTGTCCATACGTGGGACAGGATTCCATTCCTCATTTGTTGAAGTGGGTCACTGATTACAGTTTGAATCCCATAAACAGTTTAGCGTTGCTTATTTGCATATGAATCAGGATAATAGTGTGAGTATTTAATCATATCCTTCATCAGGGGTGTCTGCTTTGCTACTCAAGTGCTGCAGACATGCTTTTGAAACCAGGAAGGTATGTTCACAACAGCTTGTGCGTGGCATAATCCCCTCTTAAATGTCATGGGACAAATCATACTATGAGAATACACAACTTCAGATAATCAGAATAGGAGAATATTGGTAGTGCACAGTCAAGCAGTTTTTGCTTGCTTATTTCAGTGTTGCTTTCAAAGTATAACAGATAATCAGGTATTACAGTAAAGGTTAGAAGTACCCATGTGGTTTCCTGAAAGAATGGAACAGGGCAGGCACAATGGCATTGAAAAACCAGATGGTGAAGGAAGATGTGTCAAAGTAGCCACAGGCTTCAGAGGCATAAAAGCCTCAGGTTGGTCAGCCGCTCCACCACAGCCTCCTGAAAGAAATTGTCTCACCTGACTGGATATCTCCATCATGAGGTGCACCACAATTAAGTAGTATTTGACATAAAGAAGAAGAAATGAACTGGGGAAATGCCTATTTATCTACTGACTATAGCCAGGGGGGTAGATATTTCAGATTTAGGAATATGGTCTGATTTCAATGGGATGAAGTTCAACAAGGCCAAGTGCCGGGTCCTGCACTTTGGCCACAACAACCCCTGCAGCGCTACAGGCTGGGCACAGAGTGGCTGGAGAGCAGCCAGGCAGAAAAAGACCTGAGAGTTTGGATTGACAGGAAGCTGAACATGAACATGTGCCCAGGTGGCCAAGAAGGCAAATGCCATCCTGGTCTGTATCAGGAACAGTGTGGCCAGCAGGACCAGGGAAGTCATCCTTCCCCTGTACTGAGCCCTGGTGAGGCCACACCTGGAATGCTGTGTCCAGTTCTGGGCCCCTCAGTTCAGGAAGGATATTGAGGTGCTGGAGCAGATCCAGAGAAGAACAACGAGGCTGGGGAGGGGACACAAGCCCTGTGAGGAGAGGCTGAGAGAGCTGGGGTTGTTTAGTCTGAAGAAGAGAAGGCTCAAGGGAGACCTCATCACTCTCTACAACTCCCTGAAAAGAGGTTATAGCCAGGTGGGTGTCAGTCTCTTCTCCCAGGCAACAGGACAAGAGGGCACAGTCTTAAGCTCGGCCAGAGGAGTTTTAGATTGGATATTGGGAAGAAATTTTTTACAGAGAGAGTAATCAGACATTGGAATGGACTGCCCAGGGAGGTGGTGGATTCACCGTCCCTGAAGTTTTTTAAGACAAGACTGGATGTGGCACTGAGTGCCATGGTCTAGTAACCACGGCAGGGTTGAATCAAGTGTTGGACTTGATGATCTTGGAGGTCTTTTCCAACTTGGTTGATTCTATGATTCTATGATATATATGTTATATATATATAAAAATATATGTTATATATATGTTATATATATATATATATATATATATGTTGTAAATACTTGAAGTTCCCTAAAATAAATCTCACCTGTTTCAAAAGGTGTTTGAGTTCTCAGACAGGGACAAGTTTGAAAGACTAAAGGCTAATATAAAGTTGTCTGGCACAGCAGTCCTTCCAAATGCCTCAATTTCCTGTACAGGTAGTGTCAAGATAAAGACCTTTCAAAACTCTAGAGGGGATTTTGCTCAGATGTTTCATTTACATATATACAACCTTTTTTTCCCCTGAAGATTTTGAAAGACACCTCTATCACTGTAAGAAATTTGTACAAGTAGGAAAACTGATTGACCAGGTGCTTGCCTTGAGGCAGAGTACATGGCGCGCGTCAGCCATAGGAGTTCTGCATTGCTTCATGAATAATAAAAACTGGTTGTAGTCAGACACATTTGACCTCTTACTGCCCCTTGGGACTGAAAACAAACTTGTCACTGCTACAGCTTCGCTCTGGAGTAGTAACAAGCACCACAAAGGGGTCTTTTTCAGCCATGTCTGCTTGGGTGAGCACGCTATAGATCACAAATAGCAGCAGTCTGTTCTTCGTTCTGAGTCAATAGACTATGAGGTCACATAAGACTAGGCTTTAGGAGTTCTCAATGACAAGAATAGCTACTGTTTAGAGACAATAAAGACATGATGAGCTATAGTTTCACAGCACGCAAAATACAAAGTTCTTTAGATCTTATACTTAGCAGCAGCTGTTACTAAACTTACATCAAATCTTTCTATTTAGTGTTTTATGTGGTGAGAAATGCTGTACCATGTAAAGCTGTCTTTGGTTGGAGGGCAGTTATAGAGTATCCTTTTTTTTGGCTGGGAAAGAGTTAATTTTTTTCCGAGTAGCTAGTACAGGGCTGTGTTTTCTGGTTTTGTTATGAGAATAATGTTGATAACACAGTCATGTTTTAATTGTTGAAAAGTAGGGCTTACTCTAAGTCAAGGACTTTCCAGTTTCCCATGCTCTGAAGGGGAGGAGGTGCACAAGAAGTAGGGAGGAAGCATAGCCAGGAGAGCTGACCTGATCTGGCCAAAGGGATATTTCATATTATAGAATGTCATGCTCAGTATATTAACTGTGTAGAGCTGACCAAGGGCTGCAGGTCACTGCTCGGTGACAGTCTGGGCATTGGTCAGCAGGTGGTGAGCAGCTGGATGGCACATCACTTGCCTTTCTTGGGTTTTATTTCTCACTTTCCTTCTGTTATCTCCATTTTGAATACAATAATTATTATTTAACATTATTATTACATTTTATGTCAATTAACCTGTTCTTATCCCAACCCACAGGTTTTACCTTTTTTTTTTCTTTTTTTTCTAGTGATTGTCTCTCCCATCCCACCGGAGGTCAAGGGAGTGAGCTTTGTGGTACTTAGTTGATGGCTGGGCTTAAACCACAACATGGAGTGACACCCCTGTATCGCCTCAGCATCTACTGACAGACCACAAATACCCTCACAACACTGTATTAGCCTCCCCAGGGCTGGCTCCAGCAGACTGGCAGGATGTTTTCAGGAAACAGTGAATGTTCTGCTGCCACTAGATAAGGGTGAGTACAACAGCAGACTCTCTTTTCAAGCCAGAGCCCCAGCCAACATTTGTAGAAAGGCATCCACTGCTCACTAGCAGCCCTGTCCATGATTCAGTTATCTGTGTAGTCCCTTAAAAGGTGGGGGGACTCACTCCCAATGGGCTCAGCTTCCCACCTGGTATGGAAACAGTGCATTTTCCAACTGTGAGAAGAGCACATATTCAAGGTTTATCTGGCACATAGGACATCACCTTTGAACTGAATTACAGCTCAGGCCTCCAGCAGGGACTTGACAAAGAAGCAAAACCTGGACTGATGGTGGCTTTTATCCTCTTATTTCCTCCCCCTTATTGTAGTAAAAAGGGACCAGTAAATCAAGCTCCTGAGACTTATTGGGGTAGGAAATTCTGCTAGGAAAAAAAAAAAAAGATACAGATAATGAGCAAAAAACTATGTTTCATTTATGGACATTAATTAGAAGTAATAACAAATCCCAATTAGATTTTTACTTAAAAATATATTAGAGACTGGCAATTATCTGAGAGTTGCTACAGAAACATGAGCTCAGCCACAGTTGTATTTGAGATGAGTAATTTCATACCTTTTACAATACATAAACCACAATAATGAGAGCATGGTCATAAATCCAAATGAAATTCTATTTTACATCTTTCACATTAAAACCATCAGTTTGCTTCTACAACTATCCATTTTGTGAGATTTCAATAAATTTTATTATGTATTTTATTCTGTATATGAAATTAATTTACTGCTTTATCAGTGGGGTTTGATGTGTGCTGAGGAATTGCAGATATTATTTGCTTACCTTTATTTGTTGTTTTTGCTTACCTTTTACACTGATGTCATTTCAAGACTTCAGGAACACAATTTCCTATTGCAAAATCCCTCGCCAGACTACCAGGTGCCTGCTTTTGTAACAGGCATTGCTTTCAGCCTACATCTTTTTGTCTTACCCCAAGCTCAAACATTAAAATTTCAGGGTGTGGGTATGCACATGGCTTATTGCACTGAAATCTTCAGCCTCCTTTGACTGCACCATGGCTGGTAAGGTGAAGTATCTTCCACCAGCTAATGTAAATATGTTAGGTGTTGTCTTTTTTAATTACTAGGATATCTCTTTAACCCACTTCATTCAGAATTAACTCTCCATTACATCTGAAAGGAACATAATAATCTGTCACTTTGGGGGTCTGTAGCTCCAGCTCCTGCATTGTTGATAGCAGATAATATGCAGAAATGGAAGGAAAAAAAGACAAAGAATAAAATACTAAAACACAAGTATGGATCTTTTTTAATTGTTTCATCTGTTTCTTTGACAAATACAGATTTTTGAAGTCTAACATATTTCCCTTCTCCATCAATAGCTGCATATATAATATAATAGTGGAAATCATTGATCTAGTCCCCAGCATCAGAGACATAAAAGCTGGAAAGCTTTTGGGAGCCACTGTAAGAACTGCCTATTCTAAATACCTGCAGATTTGCTTCATTTTCTAGTTACTAATTACACACTACAGCAAAAAAGTAATATAACAGTTAAAGAAATATGATAAGCTTCCCAAATGATGTTTTAGCTAGCCATAAAAGTTGTGCTTTGGGATTTGAATAAGTGTGTTTAAGAACAATTAAAAGTATGATCTTTTAACGTAAGTTTAATTGCGGATGAAGTGATGCAGTGAGTGTCATGCATTGATATGAACACAAAGGTTGAAGTGATGGGAACTGATAGGGAGGCAGGCAAGTTTTACACTCTCACACACACATGCACACCCACAAAACACTCCAGATACTGTACTTGCCTTAAAAAAAAGAGAGTATTTTAATAATGTCACTAGAACAAGTCCCAAATACATTAAAACCTTCTTCTTCTAAGCATAAAAAAACCAATACATTGTTGGTGCCCAACTTTTATTGTAAAAATGCATTTTATTCTTTCTACAACAATTTTCTAACAATAGATCATGAAGCAGTAATGAAATGTTGTATGCCAGAATGATATGTCCTGCCTTTCATTTCAGGACAGTCCCAAACACTGCAGTGTTTGAAATCAGTATTTTACATTAACTCAACATTTTTCAGAATCTATAACCTTCTGGGAAATGCCTCTTATTGCTTTCTAATGAGCAAATTGATGGATTTTGAAAGAGAAACAAGTTATCTTCCTGAAAAGCTATAGCGGGGAATGGACAACTTAAAATGAATGCCAATACCTGCCCAACAGCCCATATTTCTGCAGCTCTCCAGAGAAAATACAGAAGCAGACAATATTTCAGAACTGCAGGGCCATTAAAAACATTAAGTGACTGTTCCTTTTTCTTTTCTTCCCAGAAGGATTATGATTTACAAGGGATATGAGTGAAAGCTATAAACAAAGGTAGGGTCATGAATTTTAAAAATTTAAATGAATCCTGATATTCCTTTTTCACCACAAAGACCATTTCCTATCCTCTACAGCAAAAGTCCATTTCTGTTATGAAAGAAACTCCCCGAGCCAGATGCAGGCAGTCAGTCCTGTGTTAGATCCCACAAACAATGTGAAGATGCACCAGAGACCTACTTGGATTCACAACACTTAACACTGCTCTTCCTAATGCATGGCCCTCTAACATCCCTCTTATGCAAAATAAAGACTACAGATTTCTCCTGCACTTTCCTCCAGCCCCTTTGCTTAGGGCAAAATGTAGTTAATGCCAAACATATGGGTTTTCATACTGTTTCTCTTTCCTCAAGTATTTATATTTTTTAAGAAGCCAAAGACTAAAGGTTACATTTTTAAAGGCATTTATGTGTTACACATCACACTACCTTTAAAATTTGGCCACTAATATTTTTATTCTCTGCAGATCCTTTTATTCTCTGCAGATGCTTAGCGAGAGGCAGGGAGTGGTGTGCCAAGGCTGATAGTCTGTGTGGGTGGCCTGGAGCCACAGCAGCCAACCCAGCACACCACCTCCTCCTCGCTATCAGCCTCCAGAAAGGGAGGGAAATAGCTACTAAGAGAAGGTGACACAATTTATACAACCTCAGGGCTGGGAAGAAACTAGGAGCACTAAGACAGGGCTGATACCTTAGTCACCCGACATGGATGGTGTAATATCAAAGCACTCAAGGACTAGACCCATGTAGATCTGAAAGTAACAGGAGAATTGGCCTCAATATATTCGATATTTCCTCTGAAAAGTGCTGCTTCCTCTTCTCCCTGCAAATATACCTGCATGTAACAAAATTCATGGTGAAGTCACGATGCACCAGAGCTGGCTCCCAGCAGACTGTGACCCTGCTTGTTGCACAGGGCTTTGTAGCAACCCCAACGAAGGACAAATATTTGCTCTCTGATAAGTTTGGTGTCACATCTCATGTTGAAAAGAAGTCACTAAAAAGCAGCTCCTAAAGGAGGAAGTGCAAACCTTCCCTTCGAGCGTGAAAATGTTTAAGCCATTTGAAAAGTGAAACCAGAACCTACCACAAATAGCATAAGTAAAATGAAGCCCTGTAAGAACAGGAATCCTGATAAAGATGACCCACATGTTTTGCACCATTTGCAAATTACCTTTTTCCCTTATTGCTAACTGCTTACTTTTAGAGCAGCTCCACTAAATCACATGTACAACATGCCTTTTGGCACCACACTTTGTCTTTATTCAAAACTCCTAATTTTCCTTCTACATGTAATCTTTAGTAATAAATATTCAGATGATTTAATTCTCTGTGTGCCAGGTTTCTGTTCTAAATGTTTAACGCAAAGGGAAACAGTTCTCTTAAAACTGATTAAAAGCATTGTAATTGAAAACATTTATTTTAGATTTGAGCCAAAACATAAATCTAATATTAAAAAAGTAAGAGAAGAGGATCTAACTCATGATCCTGAAGGGACTATAAAACATGCTGTAAAAATACTTTTAAAGTGGTTTAAGAGAGAGTGAGGGCCAAACTAACACAAAATATTAAACTTTGATCCAAATTCCCTCTCCCATGACCTATCACAACTGCAACATTACTGCCCACTGGCTTAATTTCCATTGTTGTTATGAAGGGAACATGGCTCAGAGGTGATGGGCCCTGCAAACATACCCAGTAACTAATTTAATAGAAGAATCAACTAATGAGTAAAAGAAAGATGATTTTACCACCCCTATTGTATAGATCTAGAACCACACAGGAAAGTGGATGGCCTTGGAAAAGCTAAGACAAGACTCAAGAGCTTCCAAACTGTAGATTCAGCTTCATCTCCAGGCACAAATCACAAAAGCACAAAATCCCAGAAATGTTGGCTCTAGCAGGACTCAGGAGGTCACTTGCTATGGTTCCCTCTCACAGCAGCCTTCCCCCTGCCTGCACTGCAGCCTTGGGATTCTCCAAGCTGAGCAGCTCACTGCCAGGAGCAGAGAGAGGAGGAGGGTCCTGGTACTGGCATGGCCTGCGCTACCAGGCTGAAACACGCTGTTCTACCAACAAACACTGCATGAAACAAAAGGCAGGTGTTCCTGGTTATGGTTTCTGAATATAATATTGTAATATTGGCACAAAGTTGTGCTTGTGTTCACACAAGAGTCTGTAGACCAGGCAGCCATTATTTTATGGTGGAAGCCTTTTAAATTATGTTTTTAATATTATTATTTCCATTGGTTTTGCTACTAGTGAGAATTTGTAATCAAGGAAAAAATAAAGAATGAAAAAGATACCCATCTGTGTCCCAGATCTACTACTTTAAGGCTGCAAAAATGCCATTTTGATTTTAAGATGGCATGTAAAGCTTTGCCCCTGCTGGATGGGGAGAGCATCATCATGATGCAAAACATCAGAAACAATGAGGGGAAAATGCAAAGAGGAGATGTGCTCTATTCTTTGATATAGCTTCTCACAATTAGTGCAAATACCTTGGCACTAGCAGTTATTTTTGCTAACACATAGATACTTACTTTATAATTTTTTTACAAATCCTTTTTAAATATTCCCATAGCCATATTTAGCAAGAATAAGAACGAAAAGTAGGTGAAAGGCTGGAAAACAAGGGGGCAGCAGAGTCTCTTGCAGCCATTGTAGACATCCCAGTATGATTAAGGGAAATCTAGGAACATCCATTTGAATCAGTGGCAGTGGAACAGCATAATCCTCCCATACTAAGCTCTGTTTTGTTTTCAGATTGTGCTGCTGATCCTAATGAGAAATATCAACGGGAGAGTAAAAAGAGACTTGGATATCCATTTATATTCTTTGGAGTAAACAGGGTCATTCCTACCTCTGATAGCATCCCCCAGGGTTCCCAGTTGCCTCTAAACTCCGCTTTCATCTGCCAGTTTCTGAATTCAGTCTCAAAAGTCAATCACCAAAACCCTC